CCCCCCCCCGCCCTCCTCTCCCGAGTCTTCCCCCCGCCTCTTACACGCATACAAGAAGACAAACCCTCTATTCAGCCCTTATGATGGCACATTGGACTCTCTTCCAACTCGCCAAGGATGGGCCGGAAATGACAACTCCAAAATTGGAAAGTAGACATAGCTCGACACAAATGGTCAGGCCTCGACAGAGATGCCACCACTATTTGGGATCACTCCATCTGTCTTTTCACCACGAAAATACTCCGACAACAAACTACTTTCATCTGAAAAAGGCATTCCAGTGTACGACTTCTGCTTCTAGCCCCACAAACTGTTACACCATCTGCAAACTGCACACGTATGTTATCACTGGAGTACACCCTCCTTTGATCGTCACGACCGTGGCGGCAACTCCAGGCCAAACAAGGAGGGTACACAACGCCCCTCATCCTCTGAGCTTTGCACCCTCCTGCGCTGGCCCGTGAAACCCACGCTTCCACTCCTTCCCCTTACTTCAGCAGTTTGAGAACAACCAGAGAGCAGGCAGGGTACGCGTGGGCATTTGTGAGAGCCACAAGTTTACTGCTTAGGCTTCTTAGTTTTGCCCTTCTTCTTCTTGCTGTCTACATCGAGTGCCCCGAGTCCCATGCCGAGCCCCTCGGGGACCTTGCTGCTCTGATCCGGGGAGGAAATCGACTCTCTCTTCACGGTGTCCCCGTTCGGTAATGAGGTCGTCTTTGAGCTGCTTGATACGGAAGCAGAACCTGAGCTAGGGATAGCAATAGCTCGAGCAGACTTCCTCTCACCTTGTGTAGAGCTCTCGCCTGGCCCTCCGCTACCAAGACCGACAGCTGAAACAAGCCCCGCACCTAAGCCGACATCTCCTTTCACAACGCCACCGGTTCTTGTACCTCCCCCGCCCTTGGACACCCCCGATGTCCCTGAAGATGGCACTTTCATAGCTCCATGTGCGCCATTTATGAAACTGAGTAACTCGTCGAGAGGCACTGTACCGCCCCCGTGACTTCCGCCAACATGGGATCGGGACACTGCCACTCCCCTCGCAGCCGCTCTCCGCCGGACCTCCGCTGCTGCTTTCTGTGCTCTCTCATCTATTCCACGCCGAATACCGCCTCCCTGAGTGCTCAAGGAAGCCGTCAACGCCGCAGGGTCACCACGTATCCCTTTGCCAATCCCCCTCCCTCCACTTCTGCTAGCAGCAGCTAACGCAGATACCAAATCCGCCTTCGCTTGAATTGCCTGCGCCGCCTTCTGGGCGGCCGCCAACTGAGCAGCCTGTCCACGCTGCTTTTGGGCCTGGTTTGCCGGAACAACAGAAAACCAACAATGAAAACAGTCAAAAACTCGTCTCTATCCATTATTGTATCCAACAGAAACTGACAAGGTAAGCTAGTGACAGAACCACAAGCGCTCAACACCTGTTGGTCAAATCATCAAACAGCCAGAAACTACCCTATCCAACAGAAAGCCGGCTTTCTGTTGGAAAACGCAAGCAACAGAACCGTACTTGGTGAACCACCGTCCGTCATATCATCAAACAGCCAGAAACTGGTCTCTATCCGTGGCGAGTTCTGTCCAGAATCCAGACACAATCATGTTGACCTCAACAACATTGCAGAGTCAATGAGCATCGCCGCGCCACTCACGGACTGTGCCAAAGACAAAACCTATGGCGGCAAGTGTGCCATTCTATGTTTTTGCAGGAGATAATACATGCTCCATTCTTTGTTTTGCACATTCCGGGAGTAGTACGTGCGGCGAAGCCCAACGTCTTTCCCAACACCTTCGCTCCAGTGAGGTTTTCGGTCCCCTTCATTTTTTCCTCTAAGAATTTTACAGATGCTGACACTGAGTAGCGGACATGGGATATGGAGCACTGACAGAGAGATCCCAAGAAGACGATGTAGGATTCCTTCACAACATCTAGTCTTCAAAATTACGAGAAAGAGTACATGATAGCTTTTTGAGTTCTGGAAGCTTTCATGATTGCTGTGTTTTGCATGCTAGATCTTCTACTTTTTTATGTGTTCCAAGATTCAAGAGATATAGAGAAGATCCACATGTCCCAATGTCTTGCTTTCCCAACACCTTCACTCCAGTGATGTTTTCGGTCCCCTTCATTTTCCTCTTAAGAATTTGACAGATGCTGACACTGAGTAGAGGACATTCCGGGAGTAGAAGTCGAAGCTGGAGAGATATAGAGAAGATTGTCATGTCCCCTGTGCAGGAAACAATAAAGAAAAGAGGGAGAGAGGTTCGCTAGCATCTACATTACAATCTCGGTGGAATGGCGACATCCATATCGATTTCGGTGAAGCAGGAAAAAGGGATGGCGATGGGATAGGTGCTCTCTAGCACCTAGATTAATTTTGGAGGGGTCTAGAAAATGAAAAGGGACACAAGTAAAGGACAAGAGGACCCAACACAGGACCTGCTCTGCCTGTGAGGGAAGTGATGACCTCCACCGACACCATCCACACAATCTCCTACTGCAAGCGATACCGATCAACCCAGTCGAGGTCCACAGGTTTTGCACCTCTGACAACAAAGCGAATGAGGCATGCACAGCCGCCGTAGCATATCCTCGGACAGTGCAGGCAGAGCATGTAAAAGTCAGTTCTGCCGCTTCTGCCTATTTTCTCAGACATGCAGCGGCTTTCTCGTAGACGAAGCACAAACACAGTTGCTGCCACCACAGTCCCGTGCTCAGCTCACCTCATTACTGACTGCTTTGCTGTTAAACAACCCTCAGAACTTTTCAGTTTCAAGGTACCCATTCTCTTTCTGGTACATCATATCGTGTAAGGATGATACTTTAGCGAACTTCAGAACGGAATAGAGAAGACTTAAACAAGCCTCACCTGAAGCTCACGGATTTGGAAAGTCCGAACCCAATGAGCTGAGTCCTTCGTTCTTGGATCATCCTCTCCAAGCTGCTTCAGCAGAATGTTATATGTGCTGCGCTCATGCTGAGACAAACACAACCCCAACACAAAGTGGGAACAGAACGTGAGGTCAGAAGAGAAGAGGAAACTGCACTTCATGCTCTTTCTTGCCATATGCACCCTCGGCAGCCACCGGGCTTCCCAACCACTTCAGTCCACATCATTCTTGCTCCAACCTCAGCCCATCAAAAAATGTTCCTGGATAACAAAATCAACCAGTGTACCCTTCACTATTACGATTGTCATACTCCAGTGCAAACCTGCAGCAAAAAATGAACCTGCCATGGAAATACCACTCTGCCGAGTCGTATAACAATTGGGCATTCAGGCTAATGCTTCAATTCTATAAAACGGACAAAATCCATGAAACCAAAGAGCCGAATAAGAAAATCCCCAACAGTGGGCTTACATTGACAATATGGTACACGAAGTGAAATGCTTACCTCTCTCTCTCTCTCTCTCTCTCTCTCTCTCTCCCCCTCTCCATGCATCCCAACAGTGGGCTTACAATGACGAAACGACACAAAGTGAAATTCTTACCCCTCTCTCTCTCTCTCTTCCTCCACTCCCCCCCCCCCCCCCCCCCTCCAAAAAAAAAAATCCACGGGCCGTGAGAGAATGAACCATCTTCGATAACCACTTTGCTCCACACCGACAGCTGACTACAGTAAAGCAATGCATCACTCCAGATACTGTACCAGTATCTGTGACTGTGCTCTCACTGAGACAAGGAAGTTTATGCAATCAACAGAGCAGTCTGTGCACCAACCTGCAATGATAGCTTGTACGCTCCCATGCAGTTGAACGCAATCGCAAGTGCGTGGAAGCAAACAGCAGTCTGCAAATGATCAGGTCCTAGAAGTTTCTCGTTTTGCATCAGCGCTTCCTGCAGATATCGAAGTGCCACATGCATCTTCTGGATGTCCTGCTTTGCAGAGAAACCAACAAGGCCAACCAACAACCACCCAATAGCTGAGGCACAGAATCTACCCATTCTTTCTTTCTTTTTTTTCTTTCTTTTTTATTTTTCCCAACCCCCCAGCCCATTCTATTCTGCAGGGCATCAGTCCGGTTGTGTATCACCGGCAAGCAAAGTTTTTTGAAACAAGCAACAGGGGGAGATTAAACAAAAGATAGTCAGCCTACCCTTTGTGGCTCGAGCCGCCTATCCGAGGGGGGGTGCTTACCCATTCTTCTTTCTTTTTTTTGTTTTTCCACACATTTTTTGACTTCAAAGTTCTAACATATGGCAAACATTCCCCCCAGTAAGAACAAGATGACTGAAAAAACAAACAGACAAACAAACGGTCACCCCTGAGATGGTGTTTTGCGGACAGAGGAAAGAGAGTTTCAGAGATGTGGCTAACAAATACAACACTTCAAAAACCAAAAATGTAGGACTACCGCGAGCTCTGCTTGTATTAAAAATATCCAGGTGAGAATACAATCTCACCTTCTTTCAAAAGTTGGCCATAATACAGGAAGGAAGAAACTTTTTAATGGAGGAAAGGTTGAGAAACGCCATTCTTCTTCGAATATTTGACAATAAAATATAGAAAGGAGATAAGAGCGGGCTATACCATCCATCTCTCACCACTGTGCATTGAACAAACTGTTTCAGCTCTGCAGCCGACAAACTGTTTGCAATCGAAATTTCTGAGTCACCCCTCCTTAACCACCCCCCCTTCTCCTCTCTCTCTCTCTCTCTCTCTCTCTTGTCATATCTCCAGTGTTCTCTCATCCAAACCGACCCATTCGCATCATCTCTCTTCACCCTTCTCCATCTCTCCCCCCCCCGCTCCTCTCTCTCTCTCTCTCTCTCTCTCTCTCTCTCTCTCTCACACACACACACACACACACACATGTTATACCTCCAGTGCTCTCACTGTGCGTGTGTGTGTGTGGAATTTGCTGCGGCCACTCGCCATTCCTCTCTCTCTCTCTCTCTCTCTCTCTCTCTCTCTCTCTTATTGAGTCACCTGTCTCTTTCTTGCTCCAAACAACCTCGAATCATAACAAAGCATCCCATTCAGCAAGGCCTTACTGCCCGGCCATGATAATATACATAAGCACCCCGACTCCATCCCATCCACCAAAAACCAGGACATACAGAGAAGGTTTGCACGGCACAGGGAGGAGGTCCAAGGGGTTGCCCTGGTCCTGTACTGTGTGCTAAGGAGAAAAACCAGTGTAGTTAGCCAGTCACGTACTCAGTGCTACAGTCTGCCGCCACCGTTACTAAAGGCAGCATCCCGGTCACTCTTCTTACCTGATACATCATTGCCACATTGATGAATGTTGCTGCCACATCGGGATGATCAGGTCCACAGGCAACGTTCAACAAATGTAGCGTGCGCTGCATATGCTTCAATGCCAGGTCTGTGTGACCCAGCCCATGGTAGAACAACGCCATGTTCCCATAGCTGCAAACACAAAAAACAGAAAAGAGCAAAACAGACATAACTTAGGACGTGTGGCAAACCATCCCCCTACGCAGAATCGACTATATGGAAGGCGTCGCAAGCTGGGAGCAAGCTCAGGGCACGCTCGCGTCAGGACGTTTAGGACTCAATCTAGCCATAACTAAGGTCCGAGTCATCCAGAATAGTCCTACAGTGAGTAAATACTACCCTTACCCCCTCCCCCTGATGTCCGGACGGATTTAGACGCTGAATATTCAGAAAATTTTGAAGTGGTGAAGTTCCTCAAAATTTCGAACCCTCGGTCACCGTCAACACTTCAGAAATTTCAGCAATTTCATAAGTCTTAGACTCTTGATGTAGTTGAAGATTCCGAAAACTTTGAAGTGGTAGCCTGGTACGACTCGATCGAGCCATAAGTAATGTCTGATGCATCCAGAATAGGCCTAGAGTGAGTATTTAGCATATGCCCTTTACCCCTATAGAACCAACATGCCCGAAGGACCAAGTATGGAACCTTCATCACAACACAGCATGAAACATGCACACTTCACAACCACATCTGTGATTTGCATGCATCAGAGAATCCAGTCAAACATATGACATTGGGCCTCGCTCCACTTCCCAATACATTCAAAAAATGTTGGACTCCTCCAAATGCACTTGGTCCATTTGCATGTCAAAGTGCAGGTAGAATGTAGAGAATCCAGTACAATGTATGGCATTAGGCCTCGCTTCACTTCCCACTACATTCAAAATGTTAGACTCCTTCAAATGCACATTTTGCACGTCGAAATGCATGTAGAGTGTGCATGCACAAGAAAATCCAGTAAAATAAATGTCATTCGGCCTCGCTCCACTACACGACACCATATATATACATATAAGGAACTCAGAATTGTTCCGATGCATTCAAAATGGTGAACTGCTTCTTAATGCACCTGGTCCACATGCGTGGCGAAATGCATGTAGAACATTGGGCAGCAAAGCAAGGCCCATGGTCACTGGGATTATGGGATAACAATTAGTCGAGAAACGCTGTTCCAGAACAAGATTATTCAATGAAGACGCAAACACCTGACATAGATGAAATTCAGCTTTTTCATATATCAAAATTTCAGTTTTCTTTTTCGCTTGAAATGATTCAATCTAGGCTACCAGCCGGGCCGTCCAGGTCACCCTGTTTTCCCAGGCGGCCCGGCCGTGCAAGGACCAGGGAAGGTCCCAGCAAAATAAAAATAATAAATTTAAAAAAACGGAAAAAAAACTATGTTTGGACCACATCGGAATTCTTTACCAAATTTAAAATTACAAAAGAAAAATGATATTTTTTCTTCAATTAACTTTTTTTTTTTTTTTTGGCCCGGCCGAGCAAGTGGTCCCGAGCCACTCTGGTAGACTAGGAATCAACGTTTTTTTTTTTTTTTTTAAGCCACCACTACCTCCGATCCTGATTTTCACTGCGCACCAAATTTTGCCGAGCCGGGGCAGTAGGGGGGAAAAAAAGAGAAGAAAAAGAAGAAAAAGAAAAAAAAAATAAACTTGCCGAATGCCTCTACAACCACCAGATACATTCCATGAGGTGCTCGTGTGACTGTGCGCTCAGTGACGGTGTGTGGCGGACAAACAACAGATTAAAAAAAAAAAAAAAAAAAAAAAAAAACAACAAAAAAAAAAAGCCCTAAGTGAGGACGTATGTGATGCAGATGAAATACAATTAAAAAAAAAAAAAAAAAAAAAAAAAAAAAAAAAAAAAAAAAAAGGCATCCCTACTACGCTACAGCATTGAGACAGTTAAGTGTCACGTGTGAAATACTCCCTGCCTGGCTGACCGGGCACTACAGCGACATGACAAAAAAAAACAAAAAAAACAACAACAGCAATCTAAGTCCCCACATGGTGGCCAGATACATTCCTCAAAGCAGAGGTGCAACTTCCATGTTTTTTTTCCTTCGTTTTTCTTCTTTTTTTCATTTTTATTTCATCAGCCTCCAACCCATGCCCCGAGCCCCCGTGTTTTCCGCAGTCAGCTACTAGATGGACTTTGCGTTTGCCTGTGAAAGGTAGTGGTGGTTGAAACCGCCAGTACACAGCCCCAGCCTTGCCGAAAAGAAAACTCATCGCCTGCAATAATTTCAGAGGCCCAGCGCCGCAAATAAATTGAATCGGCTACGGGTGGCCTCCGAAAAGGGCCCGCGGCCGACAGCTGGATGTAATGGTGGTTTAAGGAACTTGGCTCCTGTTCTGGGGGGGGGGTATATCAATCTGAAAATAGCAAAATTCATTTTCCACCGTCAAGTTCAGAAAATAACAATATAGTAAAATACCTATTTAGTATTTACGGCCTTGCTCCACTGCACAACTTTTGTCTGGGGCTGGTAATGTAATGGTCCCCATACATTCGGGATGTTAGATCCATCTGAATGAATCTTGTCCGGATTCAGTCCAGATGGATGTTGAGTGTTGAGCAGTGGAGCGAGGCCCGTAGTCACACTTCTCCTCGTACAGCCACAGGAACATTGGGCAGAGTATTGGAACTATTGAATCAGTTTTCTCAAACCACAACTTCCTCCGAGCCTGTTTTTTGCCGACCCTGATTTTCACCGTCTAGTGCGCACCAAGTTTTGCAGAGCCGAGGTCCTGTTTCGTTTTGTTTTTTAGGTACTCTTGCGAAAAAAAGAAAAAAAAAAAGAACTAAGTGACAAGTGTAGCATTCAAAAACGAAAAGAGGTGCGGCGAAATCCATGAACAAGTGTTTTTTTTCCGAGGAAGATTTTCACGACTGGCCGGCCACCCAGGCATGATGGCCGGGGGGATCTGACACCCGGGATACCCGGGCATGGGTAAAAGAAAAATAGGCGGTGGGGGTTTTCAGCGCTCTAGAAGAGCCCGAATCCAGGCTCTTTTCTTTTTTTGATTGTGGGCTTTAAAGGGGAGGGCAAGGGGGGTATAAACTATTTTTAAAGGGGCTAAAGAGGTTTAAAGGGGGGTGCCTTGATGTGATTCGGTTATTTTCTTTTTTATCTTCAGTTCCGTGAGGAATTCTGATATGACCCTCTGCCAAAAGTTGTTTGTATTGCAATTCCACACCACATTTTATTTTCCAGATTTTTTTGGGTTTTTTTTTTGGCGTTTGGGCTTTCCAGGACACTGCCCGGGGGTCATGCCCTGGCGGTAACCCGGGCATGCTTTCGGGCACAACTTGGCTGCCCGGGCGCCCGGGAAAACAGCCTAGGTTTTTTCGGCGAAAAAAAAAAAAACATGAACGAGTAAAACAACAAAACAAGGGAACAACCATGTGGACGTCATAGCAAGTAGATTCAATCAGCGAGGTAGTTGTGTGAGCGTGGGCACGACGGCGCAATCAAGTCCACGAATGAAAGAAAAAGAAAAGAAGTGGAACTACCCTACGGACAGGATAGGCGGCAGATACAGCATCATGAGCAGTACTGTGTGCATGCCCTCTGTGAGAAAGTATCAGGGCCCCTGGAATGCGCCCTGCCTCACTGGCAGGGCATTGAAACTAGACAATGGAGAGAAAATAAACACAAAAAACTAAACCTGAAACTAGCCTGATTTGTGGTGGGATTCATTATTCAAAGTACTGGTGTGAGCGCAACGCAAATTATGCAACCACGGCTTTCCCCAACGTCCTTCCTTTGCTTTGCTTTTTTTTCTTTCTTCTTTTCTGAAGCGGGCCCACAAGGCCCAAAAATTTTATTTTGGCTGAGTCTCCTCAGGACGTCCGAAAAATGTTGTGTGACGCAGGATAACCGACGTTCGGGACGGGCCAAACGCCCGAACCCGAACGCCCGAACGTACGGGACCCCTTGGGGATGCGTTCGGCCGTTCGGGTCGAACGCGGACCAAAAAAAAAAAAAAAAAGAACAATTCAAAAAAATGTGAAAAAAAAACATGTTATGAAGAAAAATAAAATAAACAACATTTGCCTGCGCATTACATCCAAATTCCTTACCAAATTGAGAAACAAAATAAAATACATAAACACTAATAATAAATTTATAAAAATAAGAGATACAAAAAATGAAAAGAGAATAAAAACTAGCGAGTGAGCGAGCACGTTTTCGACACCACTATCTTTGGCGATTTTTCATTTTGTCTGGCACAGCCAAATGCCCTGAAAATTTACAGGTGTGTACTTCACATAATAAAACACCCATTAAAAAAGTTTCATAAATAATAAAATTGTTTAGGCCCCGCAATAAAGTGAAAACAAAAAGTAAAACGTGAAAAAAAACAAAATAGTAAGTGGGCGAGCACGTTTTGACACTGCCATCTTTGGCGATTTTTAATTTTTGTTTGGCTAAGCAAAATGACTTCAAAATTTATAGGCATGTAGATCGCATCATAGAGAATTCGCAGAAAAAAATCAGAAAAAAAAAACTTATTTTCCCCGAAATAATTTTTGGCGGGGGCCGAACACCGTCGGGTTCGGACCGCGAACAGGACACGAACGCCCGTATGTACGGAGGTCGGCCCGGGGACCTCCGTACGTATGGAATGGTGACCCTGGTGTGGTGTATATTCCCGTTTTTCCCAACACTGAGAAAGGTAGTGGTGGTTCAATGCATCTTAAACCACCAGTACTTGGCCAAGCCATTGGCCGCGGAAAAAAATAGAGTAGAAACGTTTCTAGTCGGATGAATTTGGACCCTCCAATAGTGGCTCGTACGTTTCCTAAAATCGTGGCTTGTTAGCGCGCACGACTTTAGGAAGTATTGGTGGTTTAATATCTTAGGGACGTTGCACCACCTTTTACGGCATCTCACAGCGCCGTGTTCAATTCCACCACGAGCGTGCTGCAAACCTCATACACTACCGTTTCCACCCAAATAGAGTGCCTGGTAATTATCGCTGCATCTGGACTAACGCTCTCCCACGCACCACACACAACCCATGTTGGTCATAGACCCTACTAACACCAATCATGGGTATCAAGCGGACTATCGCAGCCGGTTGGCACTAAGTTCGTTGTGCTGGCGGTCATGGGGCTCAAACCCACAACTGCTGAATGCCACTTGCGTGGAGGTCATTTCAAAACTCCAAACAAATCTGGAGATAAAAAATAAAAAATAATAAAAAATAATACTCCTTTAAAACTTATCCGCAATACTTTTTAATAATAACAAATCTCGAGATGTAAAAATCATCCAAGTCTGAACGTAATCACCGTCAGAATAGAGTTAGGTAAGTGCTCGTGAGAGGATGCCCTCAGACACATATGAGAATATTAGAATAATGAGATTGAATGACGATGAACTAAACTACTGACAAAAGTGACCACAGTTCACATAACCACAGTCAGATTATCAACAGCAGAAAACCCCGAGAAACATCCGCCCCGTTTCTGACAAATTCCATGGTATGAGTAAATCACCATAAGCTGGCACATCCCACACAGAATAACGTACCTATGCGCCGTATCAGGGTGGTCTGCTCCTAAGACCCGTTCGTTAATGATCAGCTCTTTGTGCTGCTGCACAACAGCATTCTGCAGATCTTGCTTGTGGTAGTGTGCCATTGCCAAGTACCTGAGCAACAGCAAACAGTACAAAGACCACAACTTAGCAATCAGCTCGTCTTCCATCATATGAATCAACACCACAGCCTTTGTACATTGAGGCACACCACATAATCCCCTCCGCCTTATATACACGCGAAAAGAGGGTTGGGAGAGTGTGTTCCGACACGGACAGAACAGACGCAGTATGTTTTTTCGAAATTTCCCACTGCTTCACGTCACGCTCTGGCTAAAATGCACGCACCACAAAATCAAACAGCCTCTACATAGATTGTCACATTAGCAGAATCAGCAGCACAGCATTTGTGATGTGAGTTGACATAAATCGCAGAAGCCTTCACATACACATTCTACCAACGGGGCCGCCTGGGTTGGTTGCACCGGCCAGAAAAGGCCCCTGTTAAAAAAAAAAAAAAAAAAAAAAACCCGAAAAAAAAATATGTTGTGAAAAATAAACTGAACGACTTCTGCCTCAGGGTCACATCGAAATTCTTTGCCAAATTACTTATAAAAAAAAAAACATACAAAATAATAACTATGTATTATCAAATGATTCAAATTCATCACACTATTTGACTATAATAATTATAATAGTCTTTTTTTTTTTTTTTTAATTTGGACCATTTCTCGATTTATGCGTGTCATCCTTGCGCAGGGGCCATGCTAATCGTCTCTGTATCCTTCCAATTTTAACGGATGTCCCGAAGGACAACTATAATAATAGTCTATTATAGTATTATGTATACTTTTTTAAAATTTTAAAATTCTGTTTTAATTCATTTTTGCCACGGCCAGTCAAGTGGTCCCGGGCAACTCTGGTAACGTAGATACACATGGAGAACATCTTTGCCACGGCCAGTCAAGTGTTTACATTGATTGCCACATCACAATTGACCTCCTACACTGCACTCACTGAACAAGTGCAGAAGAAATACCGGCAGAATCAACAGCACAGCCTTTGTACATTGACAGAAATCCAACAAGACAACGCAGATAATCTTAATTTAGTTTGGAAAGAGGTACTATATTTATTGCCACATTGTGGTGGACCGGGACCGCAACTCGTCAAACAAATGTGAAAATACTAGCAGAATAGGAGGACAAAAAGCCACATGACCCGAAAAAGATACTGAATATATCACAAGGGCGAGAAGCATTAGACAGACACCGTTCCCTCACATCGGCTGGGCAAATCACATGCACAAAAGACAATGACTTCCTCCGCCTCAACATTTCAACCGTGGGATTATTGGCTCCCAGCCTGTGGCAGTCGTAAGGGCAGGTGGTATTGCCAGTAGTGCTACGTTAGTGCTCACTCAGAGAGATAAACCTGGTTGGAAAGTCGCCCAGGGGGCAGGGTGTCGACCGCTGCATTACGTTAGGCAGGACCCTTGGCTGAGGTTGAGACCCAGGGGTCGGAGTGGGTGGTGGATCGGAGGGAGAGGCGAGCAAGGGTGGGGAAAAAACACTGACTAGTGAGTACCTCTGCGGCCTCTCAGGATTCAGCCCCTGCCCCTGCTACCACCCTCCGGGCCTCAGAGTCCAGCCTGCCCTTGTCACTACCTCCCCACCATGTACCCCACCTCCCCCTGGGCTGGCCCAGGACAGCAGCATGGCCATCCAACCCCAGTGATTGGGCAAAAATAGTAAAAAAGCCAACAGAGGTGCATCCTGATGGGGCACAGATTTCTCCTCTTCTTTTTCAATCTCCCTGAATGTGCCTGGGGCTCCCTGGATTCTTCGGGTTCAACTCTATCCCCAGACCCAAGCACACCTGCATATCACCATTAGGATCAGGATCTGGCACTTGGCATGAGGCTTCTTACCTGCAGCAGTTTGCGACTTCTCTGTGCAGAGGACCACATACCTGCACACAAATAGGAAAAAGGCGCACCACACAAGCCTGCAACTTAGGAACCAAGCAATCGAGGATGTTTACTGTGCCCTCGAATTCCAAGACAATCAGTATTTACCCGAGTCCACAAGCCACTGAATACACGGCGGTGTTGCTAGAGTCCTTTGAGGCCAACAACAGGCTAATCCACAAGAGCCCGCGAACACTATCAACGACCCTAAATGTGTAGGATTGGCTGCGGCCAGCTGCAGCAGTGAAGACTCTCTAGAATTCCAAAGAGGCCTTAAAAAATCCCCCTGACAGCCAGCAGACCGTGCCCAGACATGAATTCTCATTGGGTCCAATTAGCATTTAGGCAGCAAGCTCATCTCCCCCCAGAAAGGACTGGCCGTACCAACAAATTCACCCACATGCTTGATAGCATGCCGCAACAAACAAAATAGTCTCGCATCCAACTAACCATCACTGTTATACCAACCAGTCAGGATCTGATTAGAGCCTGGAGTCCATCGCATGCACAGTGTCCAACGATCCAGGAGTCGGGACCGGAGAGCAGACCCTGAGTGGCCAGCCAGGTTAGTTGTGAAACATGCACTGTTTCCCAATGACGGCTCAGCGTAGACCCAGAATCCGTTCAAAATTGCCGGCTCAGTTCACATTACGTGCGTCAGCTGGAAGACCACCTGAGTCTCGAAGTCGTACCGACATAGTTTCCAAACGCCTCTCTTATATCATGGTACTTTTCGCACCATGATCCATCGAGAACGTATTGATGGGAAAGGTACCTCAAGCCATGTGGACCAAGGACACAAAAGTTGCTCCGCTGTCGGGCAGAGGCATATCATCTCGTGAACGAAACCCATAGAAAGTCGAAAAACTATAATGCGCATCACACTCTTTCTACGAGGAATTTGCAATCACAAAGTTTTCATATGTAAAACCTGGAATCCTCACAACTCTTTCAGATTCTGTCTTCGCCTTAGATCAGCACCATAAGAACCCAACAATCTTACCACCTCAAATTTTGTACCTGCTGCAAAATAGCAACTGCCTCGGAGAACAACTCCAACGCTTCATCAATCTTCCCCTGTACCCACGAATAACAACAGCAACGAAATCAGCGGGAATCCCATACTCATGTGAGGAAACTCAAATTGCTCACACACCCATTTGCAGACCACAGCAAGGCTTTACCCCCTCGATTCATCAATGGTTCTGCAACTGACTCCAGAGCAGTGCCCTCGGGAACTGACCTGCACAAGCAGGCATTGCAGAAAGCATTGCAAACTTTGGGTCTTGCTCCACCACTCGCCGAAAGTGCAAAATGCAAATGAATCTTCCACTAGAACAGGGAAAGATAGCCCGCCATATTTTGTTGCATGTGGTGAGTGGTGAGCCAGGTCCTTCACCTACTCATCACACTTGCCCTGTGGCTACAGACGGACTGAAATTAACCTGCAGCCTGACGACTGTACCCTCGTGTGCTCGTGAGAACAAAGTTGCATGATAGGAGCACCACCAAATGCTTTTCAATGCAAGGACGAGCAAAACATAACCAGAAGCTATGATTCAGGAAACGACAAAGACAGCTGCAAGAGTTGAGAAAGGAATTATGTCGAAGGGTTTTACTGCGAACTGTTCGAAGCCAACTTCAGAGGGGCCTAATTTGATCTTTTTCTTCCCTTTTGTAGGACACAACACCCGTGAAAAGATGAGGCCCATGCTCAGGACTACAGTAAAACACATATGGTAGTCTATTTACATGACTCCAGGCCTTGTACAAAATGGGCCTGAATTAGTCTGGACTCTGGAAAGTCAAGGTACCTTCCCAACCATTCGGAAGGCAACATTTTCCCTCAGCATGATGCTCAAAAGGGCTGCTGCATCACTCAGAAGTGAGATGCGCCCGAGTGTGTTGACGTCATGCAACCTCTAGGGATACCACCGCCATGTCATTTTCCTTTGCTGCACGTGGAGGACGGGAGACTACACAGACATGACAGAGGGCGGAATACTGCACGGACATGACACCGTTTAAATAGCCTCTGGGGGACTTATAGAGTGATTAACAATCCTACCACATTCGGACCTTAATACAGGTTATGTTCGTTAATGGGGGCGGAGGGATATTAGCCAGACAGTCGTCAACTGTGGCTCTTTCATCAGCTTGACTGACGATGAGAACGAGTTGCTGATCCTCAGTCAAACAGACAAAAAGCACTCGAGCAGAAGACCATCACACGTGCAGTCATCAACACCTCCCCCCTCTTAACTACCGTCTTTCCCTGGACTCAATATAACTGCATCTGACCAGATTAATAGCTTAGGTTCATTCATGATGACGTTACAGTTCTGTTCAGCTGGTGTTTTTAGAATGAGAAACTGAGCAATACGTATGTTACTACGAGATTTCAGCACAATAGAACTATAAGCTGACGGAGTCCAAAAAGAAGCAGAGAAGAGCGACGAAAAGACATTGATAAGGCACGATGCACAACGCCACGATCCATTGTGATTTCTCACACCCTCCTTACCTGTGACAGCCGGATCTTCCCTCCATCCATCAGATCGCGAGCATCAGCACAGTTTGGTGCACAGTGCTTCACAACTGGATGGAGATCTAAAATATCGCTGATCGCAAGTGGTGCTTCACTTTCGAAGTTGTACTCCCTTGCAGCAATTGTTACTCCCATCTGAACACAGGATAAGAGAACAGCCACAAAAGGAAGATTTGGTACTCTGTTAAGACTTCACCAAGAGATATGGTCAAACATTACCCTCACCACTGTGTCACCAGCCAAAATCTAGCAAATCAGGGAATAACTGTCAGCTTCTAAGCAGTGCAGCTAGACTTTGGCCCAGGAGGTAAAGGGCGAGATGATCCGGTAGGACCATCCCAGACAGGCCTCAGACACGGTCCAGAAAACCCTCTGCTGATGACCAACACACAGGGACAGGCCTGATCCGACCCAGAGCTGTCTACAACAGTTACATTGGAATTCTATGTAGACAACCACAAACACTGAAGGAAGAACATTCGGAAACATTTTCAGGGATCGGTGCTCTCAAGTGAGAAAACGGTGTTAGCCAAATTTGTTGCAATGCATGCTTTTCCATGACCAACACGACAAACAGGAGTTCTGCAACGTCATGTTCTGTACATTTCACCTTGTCAGTTCGCCAATTACCGTATGTCTGAATCATACAACTTGCTTGATCCTTCTTTTCGACAATCCTTTTTCCCAGGAATTGAAACATTACACGGCAATGTGGACCATTATCCTTCCTCCTTGTTGTCATGGTCGGAGGTCACATTATGGAATGGATCAGCAGGTTTTCTAACTATCTGGTTGGACACTTAACAATTGACGCAGAGGTAATAGCACAAAACACCTTCCCCTCGCTAGGTCCACAAGTCCATGCTAATGTACACTTAACAATAGACGCAGAGGTAATAGCAGGATCAGCAAAACACTTCCCCTCGCTGTGTCCACAAGTTCATGCTAATGTAATAGCGTTCTTAAGGCACCAGTACATGCCAGCTATCGACCGTGAGCCCCTTTCGGAGGCTGCCCAGCGCCGATTCATTTCATCTTCGGCGCTCGGCCTCCTAAATTTTAGGAGAGGCTCAAAACAGGTTCTCCAGTTGCCCGGGGCCATGTACTGGTGGTTTAAGTTTGCCGGTGGCAAAACTTTCCATTTCACCAGGGGATCTGGGTTGCAAAAATGGGAGAGCAGTAGGCCGGCAATTGTGGAGGGAGGGAGTAGTTGCAACAACAGATAGAGCATGAGGTTCTCCAGTTGCCCAGGGCCATGTACTGGTGGTTTAAGTTTGCTGGTGGCAAAACTTTCCATTTCACCAGGGGATCTGAGTTGCAAAAATGGGAGACCAGTAGGCCGGCAATTGTGGAGGAAGGGAGTTTGTTCGTGAGTTTATTGGTAACAAAACTTTCCATTTCTTGGGATTTGATTGAATTAGGCAGAAGGTAATAACAAGAGGGGGGAAGGGAGTAGTGACAACAGATAGAGCATGAGGTCAGCAGTTGTAAGGGAAGGGAGTTTGTTTGTGAGTTCATTGGTTCCCAAACTTTCCATTTCACCTGGATCTAGGGTGACAATGGGGTCCCAGATCTTGGGCGTTTGATTGAATTAGGCAGAAGGCAATAACAAGAGGGTGGAAATGCATTGCATCAAGCAGATGCTTGATCAACCGTTGAAGGCGCTCATAATAAGCGAAGGCAATAACAAGAGGGAGGGAGTTGCACACCGCATCAAGCAGATGCTCAACTCCATACCAACCGTCAAATGTGCTCATTATCATCGACTAGCTCATTTTTCTAAACTACCACCAACATTGCTTCCTAAAATCCATTCGCTACAGCTGTGCCACCACTAAGCCATTATCTCCATCACCGCCTCCATGGCTACGTGCTACGACATTGGTTAAGCAAGTATCTCACCTTCTGACAGAACGATCGAAGAGCCGACAGCTTTCGCATTGAGCTCCTTACACCATCCGGCAACTCAAACTGGCATGGAAAGAGAGAAACAAACATCATCCATCAGTGGCTCTGGACACCTCAGAAGAATCTGAGACAAGTGATACTGTCTGCAGCACATCATCTCCGTCCCTTTCCTAAAGCCTTCTCCCCGCCAAGTAGACGGGCCCACACACAAACGAAAAAAAAAAAAAAAACTGTACCGTGTCCGCACGCATGCGGCGTAGTCAACCAATGCCCACCGCAATGCACCTGTCCGCATGTTTTGTGTGGTGTGTGCGCATCTCCAATTTGCACACAGCACAGGTGTGACCGAAGTATGCTCCAAACCATTTAAATTCCCAAGGACAGTGGTCAATCACCAAATCTAAACATGAAGTCTGATTTTGACTCCTAAAATGAACCACAGATCAGGACAGTCATCCGAACTGCTTATTTTGTTTTTTTCTTTGCTTTTCAGTTTTTATTATAAACAGGCCCTTTTGGGTCCGGCTCCTCATACATTATGGGGAGCATCCAGTTAACACTTCTCTTAATCAACAATATTTTTAATCAACATTGATTTTTTTTTTTGTTTAAAACTATAAATGAAGAAAATAAGGAAAAATATGACTTATCCTTTTTATTCTTTTTTTGAATCATAAGTGCTGGATTTAAAGCAGGGGTAAAAGATTACAGATTAACTTACTATACTCCTGAGTATAAAACTAAAGACACTGACATTTTAGCTGCATTTCGTGTAACTCCACAACCTGGCGTTCCACCTGAAGAAGCAGGTGCTGCAGTAGCTRCAGAATCTTCTACTGGTACATGGACTACTGTTTGGACTGACGGATTAACTAGTTTGGACCGATACAAAGGAAGATGCTACGATATTGAATGAATAGAATCAGTATATTGCATATGTTGCTTATCCTCTTGATTTGTTTGAAGAAGGATCAGTAACAAATTTATTTACATCTAAGTTGACCCCAATTTTCACTTGCCGCCGCAGGGGAATACCAGACGAGTACCACACCACTTGCATAGTCCAGGCGCACCTTGACAGATGGCTATAGCTATAGCTACGTGGTGAATAGGGTTAACTCTTCGGCAAAATGATTCTTTAGCAGCTTCGCGGCATTACATCTTCGACAGAATTGTTCTTTGGCAGCTTTGCAGACTTAAATGTGTCTGTTGTTCATAGAGGCCCGAATTTTCAGAAGCTTGTCATGCGATTCATAAGAAACGCAAAGCCATTCTTAATCAAACTTGTCGCCCATACATAGAGTGAACACCATACTAACTAACAGCAAAAAAGAAAACCATGAAGAAAAAACGAAAAATCAGCATGAAACTTCAAGGCAAAGGTGCACTTTCATGCAAAGTTTGTCAAAATTTCCCCAACCCACATTTCAGAAACAACAGAGGAATTTTGCCCGGTCCAAAAGGCACCAAATTTGACACAGAGTAACCTTGCCCTAAAACAGAAACTACTTTCAACAAGTCAAAAAAAAAAAAAAAAAAAAAAAAAAAAAAAAAGACCCCCAAAGGGCCCCAAAACCCTAATTTCAGTTATATGCCTGTTAGTTGGGGGCTGGAAATGGCGGGTCCCCGTTAACCAGTAGTGTTGACAAAGCCCGCATAAACAAAAACAAAACAATCACCTAGGAGAGGACAACATGACGATACTTCAGCTAATTCCTTCCTTGAATTCGTGAACAGTTCACCCCAGGCCCCATACTACAGAATCTCCTCAATCCAGCAAGATATACCCTGTTGTGACCGGCAACTGAAAAAAAGACAGAAAACGATTAAAGAAAGTGCCACACACAAGAAAAGAAAAGAGCATAGCCCCATGACCACACTTCAGCTACTTCCTTCCTCGACCTCGTGGACAGTTCACCCCAGGCCCCATATACTGCAGAATCTCCTCAATCCAGCAAGATCTGCCCTATTGCGACCGGCAACTGGACAACGGGCAAAGGATTAAAGAAAGAGCGCCACACAAGAAAAGAAAAAGAAAAAAAAATTAAAAAGAGCAAAACCGTACCTGATACTTAAACTTCACTCCCTCTTTGATGTCTCCCCAAACCAACTCGGAAGTAATACGAGTATAGCCTGGCTTTAAATCCTCCTTCATCGGTCCTTTGTCTTCCTCGCCATTGACCCCAGGTGATACCTTCTCCGGTGAATACGCGCTTCCACCCTTTCCGCCCTTCTTTTTCTTCCTTGTCTTGCTCTTTTGTGAACCAGAATCCTGAGACCCCCCAGTGGGTTTGTCTGTCACACTGCCACTACCGCCTGAGGCGACAGCAGGCGAGTCGGACTGCTCACTGGAGGGAGAGGATGGGGTTACCGGAGGAGAAGACCCCACTGATGTTCCCAAGAAACAGTTCAGGAAATGTGCAATTGCCCCACCGACGTCCTGATCCATGGTCTCTCTCAGCACAGCCTGCTTGCATGATATCCACAAGCAAGTATTAGAACACCAAACAAATGTTACACCATCACAAATTACCACCACAGAGTGGCACAGACCCATAGCCTGGCAGACAATCCCATCACCATACCTCCACAATAGGTATGATGCAGCACCCACGGTGGAGACCTGTCAGTCATCCAGGCATATACAGCGACGGTCAAAACTTCCATTTTTCCCAGGCTTTGGGTCCCCCTTTGATGATGCTATTGTTTCGACGTCCGTACGCAGCTGCGGGCGGACGGAAACAGAGCCTACAAAAGTGTTATTCCTGATGATTTATTTACTTTCCCACCTGTCCAACCACTGCCACGCTCCCAAGTGCTTCAAACACAGTAGCGCAACGCCAGGTTCCCAAACCTTTCAAACACAGTGGCGCACCTCACAGAGACAGTTCAGAGACTGACGTTCTTCGACTTTCTGTTTACAGCCTTCTTCTCAAAACAGACAGTGAGATCCATAAATTCATTCCCCTTTCGAATGTGCATATCTCATGCAGTCATGATTTGATAGCCTTGTCAAAATGATGATGACCACTCCGTAACCACCTCCAGTGAGATCCATAAATTCATTCCCCTTTTGAATGTGCATATCTCATGCAGTCATGATTTGATAGCCTTGTCAAAATGATGATAACCACTCCGTAACCACCTCCACCATTACCCAGAACAGAGGGAGAGTAAAAGGTCAGAAATCGTGCAACCACTCTATTGATGATCCCTCAATAGTGAAAGATGGTCCTTGAAGTGTGAAACGGGTGTCGAATGCAGCAAGTGGTTTTGGGAGGAGACCAAATGACGTACCTGTTCATAAACAAGTCACGAGTTCACATCCGCACATGCGTACACATGTGCCTGTTGAGTTCAAATTTGCACATGCATACACGTGTGCCTGCTGATATACAGCTCATGCGTTCAGCCCTTGAAAACTGAGCACATGTAGTTGCTGGCAAACAGGTCACAAGTTCAAATCTTGCACAGGTGTAATCACTGACAAACAAGTTGTGACATCATATCTTAGTAGTACCCAAAGACGGCCTTGCTGCACCCCCACCAAATGTGTAAAACGGCAAGTGGCATCCATGTGGGTTCCGCGGGACTACTACCACATGTCTAAAATGGCAAGTGTACGTTCTTCTCAACTGTACAAAGATAACAGGATTTCTTCTCCTCCTCGCATTTCATGAGCGGTGGAGCGAGGCACCAATTCTTCTTCATAAAACAGGTCAGATTGAGCTGCCAATGCCGACCTGTTTCCATTTGTGTCGTCCTCACCCCCTCCCAATCTCTCCCCCTCCCCCCCCCGCCCCCATTTTTCTCACCTCTGCTTGTTGCCCTAAATTCAGGTCCACAGCTGACGGCTAAAAAGCACGGAATAGCTGATGGTGAAATCGTTTCCGTCTCCCATATAACGCCCAACCGGAGCCACAGCCAGTGAGTACTCAGATTGCACTGCACAGAATATCTGTCGAAGACACACTCACCGGACATGATTAACTTCTTCCCTAGGTAATTCAGAATTGCAGTATATTACTCATCCGCTTCCAGCGGAGCTCAAACTCAGATTTGTATTTCAACAGTTCAGGGGTGTATCAACTAAGCCACGCGAGTGGTGGACATGTTTAATCTTAGCCTTCAGAGTAAAGTCCAAAATAAAACGAACCTTCAGCACGTGCTTTGCAGATCTCACAATCATCTCGGAGATACACAAGCTCTTGATGTGGATCAGGCTCTCTGACAGTGATGCAATCTGTCCACAAAACAGATAGAAATGGAAAGCAATTTCAGTCATCGTCCACAACTCCAGGGGATATATGCCCGGTCTGGATCCACTTGCTCACCACCAGAAATTTCCCAGTGTTCGCTGCCACGACCTTAGGGGGTCGGATCACTTGGCAGGCCATTGATGTAAATTCATCAATGGCATCCCCAACCCCCAAGGGTGACGGGCATGCACAGACAGGCAAAAGAGTGAAAAAGAAAAAGTCTGGGAACTGGACTGGTGGTTTAAGAAAATTTAGAATTGCAAAGATTTATTGCGATAACTTTGAGGACGGGTCTTTTGTCCTGCCTGGGTGGGAGAGGAGGAGCTCGTTCTGGGCACGTTTACCACATGCAGTTGATGAAGCAGCCAGATGGTTTACCTTACATGTAGTCTCTCACACGTGGGGTGCAACACATGCTCATATGTACATGTTGGGCACGCGTAGACCCCTTTGGTATAGTTATTCTAGAACAGTGGAAGGTATCCCTTCGTGCACAGAGATGGAAGAAAAAAGCACAACCACACATACACCCGTGACCCGACCCATCCACCAGCAAGGACCGTTGTGGATACAGCCATATGCAGTGGCAAGTACCTCCATCAATACATATAGCAAAAAAGAATAACATGAAAAGAGGGAGTGTGTTAAATATGCACACGCAGACAGGAGATTCACGTCCAAACCCTGAAAATGTTGGTGTTAGGTATGGCTGGAGTCTGAAGTTTAAACTACCCTTGGGCTTCACTGTCATACTGTGCTCCCTGCAGATATGCAGAGTGCTAAGCAAGGGGACAAAGGCATGTTACCAAACTGTGACCAACAGAACAGTGCTAAGCAAGGGGACAAAGGCGGGTACCAAGCCGTGACCAACAAGACTGAGTGCTAAGCAAGGGCACAAAGGCGGGTTACCAAGCTGTGACCTACAGGGACGTGAGAGACATTACGAACGACCAGGGACGCGAGAGACATTACGAACGACCAGGGACGCGAGAGACATTACAAACGACCAGTGTAGAAAGGACAGAGAAGCCATCACTGTTGCCGTTATGTAGGATTCTAGCTTTCCAAAGTACGTACTGTTCACACCAGCTGCACCGAGTAAGCCAATGTATCACATAGACAAAATAAACAAAAACAGGTGACCATCACAGTGACAAATCTGAGATGGAGGCCATCAGGATAAGTGTGAAGCATCTGAGTACGTAAAGGCAAGCACCAGATGCTGCAGGAATCTGTCTGATCCAGAACCAGTGACCGTCCTTCTTGAAATGTGGCACATAGGAGAAACAAGGGCAATGTGCCACAAGGAGATTAGAAATGGAAGAGGTATGGAACAACAGCGCACAGGGCCAACTCACTTTGTTCAGCTGAATGCTACAGAGAGGGATGAATCATCCCCCCTTCACCTCTGATTTGTGAGAAAGCAATTGAGCAGATCATGCACACATGGAACCAGCTGATATCGCTCGCAGAGGAGAAAAGGGTGGCTAGCACGGACATTCTGTTGCGGTAGGAGCCAATGAATAGAGACTATTTTTTTGTGGAGATTTCACTCGTCGTGCAAAAATCATTTTCCAACTAGACTCCTCGACAACAATGACGATGCCTCAGCAAGATGCAAAATCATGCGGGTCACTGCAGGATATACTATTGCGCCCATATTTCACCTTCTATTTGCACAATTTCGCAGTCATCAGGACATACATATGTGCATCAAGTCAACGCCGAAATGCACACCTAGATGGGCACCAAAGACCAAAAGCACCACATTTTGTCCTTTTTGCATCTGCGAGGGTCCAAGGCCTCAGCAGCACCAGGTAGGGGCCACTGTTGGAGAATAGACCAGGCCCTAGGTGAAGGCAAGGCTGAGAAAAACACCGTCAGTCCTATAGGGAGGCTGGCGTGAGGTACTCGGGAGGAAGGTTGGACGCAGCATCTCCAGCCTCCAGTTCGTTAAAGAGGAAGGGAGGTCGCAGCATTCCACACATTTGGAGGCACTGGCTGCCATCACCAGCTCTGAAGCAAGCGCAAGCAGCCAGGCCCGGGAGCAGCCACCACACGCAGCTGCTCCTTCTCTGCCGCCAAGGGGGACTAAGAGGCGACGGTGCTGGTGTGATCAGGAACAAGGACAGCTATGACGAGGGGGAAGGGGAGGAGCCACCGCGGGCAGCTGCTCGTGCTTGGTAGCAGCCAAGGCCATCCATAGCTGAGCTAAGGGGGGCTAAGGTCGCAGCATTCCACACATTTGGAGGCACTGGCTGCCATCGCCAGCTCTGAAGCAAGCGCAAGCGGAGAGACCCGGGAGCGGCCGCCACAGGCATCTGCTCCTGCTTGGCGGCAGCCATAGGCGCTGGTGTTGGAGTGATCAGGGGACAAGGACAGCGGCGGGAAGCAGACAGGCCGAGAGGCTTTGACGAAGGAGAAGGGGAGGAACCACCATGGGCAGCTGCTTTTGCTTGGCAACAGCCATAGCTGCGCTAAGCGGCAATGAATTGCACTTGTGCGGGGGTGATCAGCGGACAAGGACACTGGTGGGAACAGGCAGACTTACCTGTCGATGGCCAATTAGCACAGTTCGGGTGGTCGGACTCTGCAGCATTCTTGGGCAAGGGGATGTAGGGCACACACACACACACACACACACACACACACAGAGAGAGAGAGAGAGTAACCTGTGCACAGTAAATCGGCTGGTAGCATAGGCGGTCACATTATTGGAGAACTACATTGTTGTATTGTTGATGACAAGAGGAGGGAAGCCAGGCTCTCTTTGCTGTCAGTGTTTGCTCATGGACTACTACATCGTTGTTGTATTGATGAGAGTAGGAGAGTAATCCGGCTCTCTTTACCAAGAGACTTCAGTGTCAGTGTGTGCTCATTTGGTGTGTTCTTGGCTTTGTAATTCTATTTTGGACTTCGCTCATGTATGCTGGTTTTGCTTTGAGTCTTTTGCCGTTGGAAAAAGTGTTATTATGTATAGTTCCAGTTCTGCTTCTGACAACATAAGACAGCAAGTGCGGTCATCAATCACCCAGGTCACATGACTGTTTGAGTGCTTCCAATGCACAGCCTGACAGTAAAGCGATGACATTGGATGCTAAATCTTTCTGCCAAGGGGCAAGACTGCAGCTCCATAAACTGTCTCAGTCCTTGCAAAGAAATTGTATGTTAAGCTGCACAGCCGGATGAGGACAAGAAGAATAACAAAGAGAAAAGCTGCAAGAGTCACCGGGAGATTGATTTGAATGCTTGATTGATTGCTTGATTGATTGCTTGATTGATTGGTTGGTTGATTGGTTGACTACTTGCTTGCTTGCTTGCTTGATTGATTGGTTGGTTGGTTGGTTGGTTGGTTGGTTGACTGCTTGGGAGCTCAAACTTGAGAGCTCAAGAGCTTGGTCGTTGGATCCTTGACTGACTGAATCATCACACATCGGTTGATTGACAGATGAGAATGCTTTGTGCAGAGTGCCTCCATTTTTGTTATCTTCTGTTGACGATGTTTCATGCCTTCCATTAGCTATGTTCTTGTGGGGGGAAGAAGTTAATAAATGAAAAAGAGAGGCAGAGACACTGATGTGTGCCAAAAAGGAGATACTAACTTTTCCCAGATATCGTATATTGACACCATGAGCATGCAGTGCCTCGCTCAGTGTTTGCCCATCCATCGGAGACACCTCCAATATGCTAAAATCTTGGATCAACTTAGGAATAACTGTCGCAACAAGAAACTCTCCCGCCTTTTTCACCAACTCCTCATCGTTTTTCACTGCCTGAAATGCAAAATGAAACAAAACAAATAAAATAAAACTCAGTATTCCTGAATCCTGTTGAAATAAAACTCAGTATTGCTGAAACTTGTTGAAACAATGAGGTTTGCCGCTTCTCCTCTCCGTGGCTCTTTTCAATCAAATACAGTCATTATCAATGTATTTAGACTGAGAGTTGCCCAAATGCAAACATAAGGACTGTACATTGGGAAGACGGTAAATGAATCAACAGCATTTTGGCTACAGGCTGCAGCGGCAAAATCCTAGAAAATAAATGGCAGCCCCGGCAGTGAGAATTTGCTATCCACATATAACATACCGAACCTAGAGTTGATGACAAGGATCAAGCACACGCAAAAGTGGCCGTAACTCATATTCCAACTCTTACAAGTCCCAGAAAGAAAGGACGATCAACTTCTGCATTTTCCGGCACAGACGCGCATAACTCATATTCCAACTCTTACAAGTCCCAGTAAGAAAGGACAATCAACTTCTGCATTTTCTGGCACAGACGCGCTGCCAGCCTCAAGATACATCTCAACGCTGTGCATAACATTTGGTGGAGTCAGGACTGGATAATCACAATGCATGGAAAAGACAGCAGAGAAGGTCCAACGAACACGGAATAACAAAACTGCCACACTGCACAGCAAGAAGCCAGTGCTGCCTGCCCAGACTTACTTCAGGGTCCCCAGTGACTTTAAAATCGGTGAAGACATTCGGATTCAGAGCAATGGACGCCAGTGCATCTGCCTCTGCCTCCTTTGTCACATCACCAGCATCTTTCACCTTCTCCAGAGCCTCACTCTGTCATCCAAAAGAATGCACACAGGAAGAGCTGTAAGACGTCGGAAAGCTGAAAAAAGCCAGCACCCCACCAAAATATCAGCCACAGCTAAACAACCACCATATGCAACCCTGCCCACCACCCAAAACAACATGCTGCCCTTGTTGAATAACTAAGCAAATTGGCATTCCAGGTTGATGGAAGACCAGTACACCTAACATGCCAAAACCGTGAGTATTTTTGCATCCAACAGGATATAGCACATCCGGCTGGCGACGAGGACACCTTCAGACAACTTGGGGACCTCATAATACTCTGGATGGCCTGTAACTCTTTGCAGAACATATAATTTAACAGCTGATAGCAATCTTTGATACACTACTTAGCTCCTGACCTCTTTTTCTCAAAACAATCCACACTGCAGAACTGTTGTCACATACTCATACTTTACAGCCTGAACCGCTACAGATGTAGCACTCGTGTCAGCCCAATGCAGGTTCCAATCAACATGGAAGAGACCGACTCACATGTCTTCCACATATCGTCCCTACTGCAATCCACATAAATAAATGCAAATGGTAACTCTGGGACTGTTCTTCTGATACCTTGACTGTTTCTGCAACCTCCAATAGCAAGTAGAATCAACGGTCACAGAGTTCGCCCCACGTTTTTCTTTTCCTCGACCTTATGACAGAAAAAAAACGACGACTCCACCTGACAACTGTAGACTGTAAATGAGAACACATATCGGTCCAAAGTTCTCAAAACGGCAAACACTCCACTACCCGTACCATTGCGGCCAGCTGAAACAGACTTCACCCATTCTCACAAACCCTCGTTATATGTCTGGATCACACTACTTGGCATCAAGAAGATAAATGGTTCAGGTACATTGGAACACGCCACCTAGGCCTAAACTACCGTTCCCTGACTCTCCTCCACCATCTACTTACAGACTATGGGCTTAATAAGCTGACACCAAACAGATCATGCAGGCCAACAAATCAACCCAGTTCCAGATAATGGATAGGAAATATTATCCTGCCTAACCCTTCCGACCGCCACTGGCTCTGCACCTGGTCAGCTGCCAGGACTGAAGCGGGCAGCCATTTTCAACACCGTACTACTACGCGACAGTCCCTTTGGCAGGGACACTGGATTCTGAAAGTATACAAACCCTTCGGCAGGGATGACACACAGATCTCAATGCCGCTGCTGATTATCAAAGTATAATAAATTTCACCCTTAGCACCCCAGTTATCCTCCATATTGCCACCACCAATCAGCAATCCCTCCATCGTCAGGCTTTTTGATGATGTGCACACAATGCTGGGTTAACAGTCATATGCCAAAAAAATCGCCCGGGATGCCAGTGCAATTTCGCCTCCCTGGCTACCACCTTTTCCTAAGGAGCACAACCTTCCCTACAACAGTACCCCTCCCAGTGTCTTTCAATAACCAGTGCAAGCCTCCAACACACACTGCCTCCCTTCTTCACAGCAAAGGAAAACAGTAACAGAACACATGCGCAATCAGACTCGCTCACTTCTTCGCTTCGCATGCCTACAAACAGATGGTGATTCACACTGGCCATAGCGCCCAACTCAAAGCTCAGAGATATGGAAGCCAAGAACACAGTTTAGATGCAAACTCGTTTCAACAGGCTATGGTGCATCAGCACCTATACATCCCAACTCTCGTCACTGTGTCCAACACCACTGTTCGCTCACACTTCTGGATCACCCTGGAT